TCACGAGTCGCTGCTCTCCACCACTGTCTATCACCCGCAATGTCTATCACCTGTCCTTCTTCCTTGCTTTTTATTCGTTCCGTGCAGATCCAGAAACGACCTCAACGTCAGCTCGCATGAGTGTCCCACCAGGTCATATATAACCTGTCCGCCTCTTTTCTGGTGAAACTGTTGCGATAGTTTACTAGTGGCATTGAAAGATGTGCGACTCTCAAAAATTAGTTGTTTCTGCTTTTTATTGTGCAATTTCTATGCGCAACTTCGTGAGGTCATTAATCCAGCTAGTGCCACCACTGTGCTTCCTCTGTTGACTTGGAACACATGTGACGGGTGTTCATTAGTAAGTAACATGCAGCGTTAGGTGGAGAAACTCTTTGTCATCACCTTGAATTCCCTTGAGCAAGAAATTTGCCATGCATTGCTTCAGATGTGGTTGGTCAGTCGCTGGAGCGTCGGGCTCAAAATCGAATGGTCTCAAGCTCAACGTCCCAGCAGAGTTTGCTCATTTTTCTTCCTTCTGAGGTTGATAAATTAGTTCCGTTCAGTAGGAAGGAAGCGGTGGTCTACCTACTGCTATATATCCTTCACGCAGACAAAAATTTATGTATGAAAAAGTAAAGTAACGCAACCTCGTTACCCTCATAGTGCCTGCAAATTACAGTTGTTATGTGAGCCGTATTTCGACCGCCGAAACGAATTAATGTGGTTGATCTCTAGTTCGCCGAATGTCGGATCATGAAGAAGAATCAATACAGCTTGAAGATCACTTCATCCTTCGTCTTCCATCGGTAAGCGATTTTATCTCTTGATATTTGTGCTCCTCGTGAAGGTTAATAAATACCCATGAGCATGTTAAAAATTAAATGGCTATGTGCCTTAGGATGTCGATGCCTTAGGCGGCAAGCTGAAGATCGATTTTGAACCAGATATGAGAAATGCCACGGTGAAGCTCGGAAAATGCGTATTTAAAGCGAAGGTACCTTCAACAGTGTTATATGGAAATATTTTCTATACAAATATTTTTCAACAGTTGATGGACCTTCCTAATGTGATTGAAACGTTAAAAACACTGGATAATAAAAAATTCTACAAGGTTGC